AATCCTTTTTTACTCAATATATGGGCTTTGGCCCCTAATTTTCCCAAAAAAAAAAAAAAAATCAAATTTATCAATAAATTTTGGATAGATAATACATTTATAAGGAGGCAGAGGGGGAGAAATTAGCCTCATAAAATAAAATTGTGAAATACATAAAAAAGTAACATTTTCTTAAAATTTAAGCAACAATATTTATTGAATGTAGACAAAAATTATTAAAATATTTATTCTTCTAAGAAAAAATATAAGATTTTATGATGGGCAATTACCCACCCTAAGCTCCTTATAGTTTCACCCTTGCGTATAAGTGGCTCTATTCATGGCAATGGCAATTATAGTAATGTATTCGTAATTATCATTTAAGTGATAATCGAAGGCAAGAAATCCAATAATCGGTCGCAAGCTACCTAGTTTAGCTATAGATTGACGACTTTCATCGTTACTCAACAAAAATAAAGAAATATTTCAAATAAAAACTTATGTCGCTCCATGTGCCTGCTAGGGTTTCTTCCCCGCATGGTGCTCCCCATTTTGCTGCCTTGTCTGTGGCCTTTGACGTCACCTCTCGGTTCAGGGAAGTTTTATTTTGAGCTTTTCTTGTGTTTTCGTGCTTTCTCGTGCCTCTTTGTTCGGTTGATGGCATATAAGCATTTAGTGGATCCTGGTTTTCTCGATGTCAATACCTTTTCTAGGTCTTTTCGTGATGCTTTATCCGATAACTCTTCCGCTTTTCCTGACCTGAAAATCACTACTCACTGTGGTTTGCCCTCATTCTCGATTTCAAAGGCCGAAATTCTTGCGCTTGCTACGCCTTTTGATTTTTCTTTGGTTGAAAAATTTCCTACCCATAGACCATCCCTTGAAACTATTCGCAAATTTTTTTTCAACCTTAAGCTCATCGGTGATTTTTTAGTAACTGTTCTTAATCAAAAGAATGTGTTAATCAAGCTTGTGAACGATTTTAATTATTGATGTGTATTTGCAAGCCACTCCTATTTTATTAACAATTGTTACATGAGGATGATTAAGTGGTCTCCTTCATTTGATGTTGATGTTGAGTCGCCTATTATTCCGATTTGGGTGTCTTTCCCGAATATGAGACCTCATCTTTTCTCGCCTAGGATTCTTCATAGCCCTGGTTCCATGTTTGGCCACCCCCTTAAAATTGATTATGCTACCTCTACTAGTTCTAGACCTTCGGTTGCATGCGTTCTGGTGAAATTAGATGTTTCCAAACATTTTCGGGATAAAGTGTTGGTTGACCCAGACAATTTTGGTTTTATCCAGTATGTGGTTGTGTAGGATATTCCGTCATATTGCTCTCACTGCAAATCTTTGGGGCATTCCAAATCAGAATGCCATATCCTACACATATATTTGTCTACCCATACTTTTGTGGGTACTGAGCTAGTCGATAATGGTAACAATATACCCTTGATTGTTAATCATGTTGATACCGTTATTAATGACCATTTTCCTTCGGGTGCAGAGGGGCTTTTGGTTGTGCTTTTTTTCGTATGTTTTTCTTGATCCAAATGTGGGTACTGAGCAGGTTGTTAATGGGTTTGATGTGTCATTGTCGTTGCATTGTCGTTAGCTCCTTCATGTGGTAATAATGAGGATATAGTTGCGGCTTGTGAGGTTCCTTCATGTGGTATTAATGAGGATGTTGTTGAGGTTTGTGTACATAACCATTGCTTACTTAATTTGGTAGCTAGTCCTATTGCTCCTAATACTAATGTTGATGTTAATAATGGTGAAACTGCACTTTCTAATGATTCTATCCCCCTTCCTAGGGAATGTGCTTGTGTGTCTCTTGCGAGCGAAATTTCTTCTTCTAATTGTAGTAAGGGTGATGATTCTTTGGCTACTCCTCGTTTTAGTGCTTATTTTCCGAAAGGTGTTAATTCTCTGGGGGAAAATTTTGGTTTACCTCTTGTTGAGGTTCCTATATTTATTCTATCTAATGATGCTTTAATTGCTCATTTAACTAGTAAAATGAGAGATTTTAAAGTTGTGCATGGTGACTGGTTATGTGATGACCATTCCTCAGCTGCTGGGGAGGAATTTAATGAGAAAGATTTACACTCTAGTGAGAACTTTGATCTTATTATCATTCAAATTGCTGATGTTGATTTTTTTAAAAAGAAAATAAGCATAAACAACAAAAATTGAAGAAGAAATAATCACCCAATTTGGTTTTGGGGCAGCTGCTGGTTTACTTTCTCTTCTGTTGTTGGTTGCGGCCAGCTTTAATGTTTGTGATTATGTTGGGTTGGTGGTATTTCTTCTGGTTATTTTTTCGGACAATGATAAAGAGGCTTCTGTGCGCTACTTCCTTCTCTTGCATGATGGCAACCTTGGTGGTCTTTCCTCCTTGCGGAATGGGTGACTTTTGTTTGGGTTTTTGTGTTGTAATTTGTTTTGGCTCCTGCTATGTTGCCTCCAATGGAAGGTCTTTGCTTGGCCTGAGGGTGGGTGCGCGTGGCCTCATACCTGAGTCCGATGGGCACTCGCTCAATTTCTCATTTCTGCCTTCTTCCCTTTATGGTTGCTTCTCTTATATATATATATATATTTCAGTCGTGAGGACATAGAGAATCGAAGTGGTGCGTAATAGCCATATAGAGCAAACAATATATAAGCTTAAAGCTTCGTTTGAGATAATTTTCTTACTGCTTCCTAAAACAACTTTTTAATATAAAAATTTTTGTTCAAAGTTTTTTTGTTAGGAAACATCAAAAAAATTTGCCCCAAACAAAACCTAATTCTCTCGAAAAGTGGTTCATATAAGTGTGAAAGTTAGTAGCTTGTGAGAAGATGAAGCAACAACTTTCATATAAATTCTAATTTAAGTGAAGTAGTAAATAACCATATGAAGGAAGAAGCAATACTAATGGCACCCGAACATGAAACAAATCAATCCCAAGCACTCAATAAAGGAGATAAATCAGCCATAAGAAAATAATCTGCAATTAAACATAGATTGTTCCAGCAAAATAAGATGCCAAGAATATCATCAGAATACAATAATGAGAAGCACCGACAGCCATAAGAGCTAGGGGGAATAGATTTAGGCTTTGTTTAGGTCGGCTTTTTTATTGCTTTGTAAAGTTATTTTTTAGTACAAAAATTTTCTAAAAATAGAAAAAAAAAAGTAGTGTTTTATGCCTTTGTTTGAGGAATTTTTATTAGGTCCGGACACCTGACGTAGTTCTACATCCAGATGACAATAAAATGTCGCCACGTGCTCTTACTTTTTACCGTGCGGCCCGACGACCCGACCCGGAACGGAAATCCGGTATTGCTATGTTCGTTTATTGCTAGGTATTGCTCGGTATTGCTAGGTATTGCTTCACAATAACGAGAAATACCGCTCTGTGAAGTCCAATACCGAGCAATACCAAGCAATACCTAGCAAAACCTGGGTATTGCCCGGTATTGCTCGGTATTGTTAGGTATTGCTAGGTATTGGTCTTGACAGAATGGTATTTCTCGTTACCGAGCAATACCGAGCAAAACCTAGCAATATCCTCATATGTACAAATCATCTAATAAATAGCAATATTGGGTTCCGGTCTGGGTCGGGACGTCGGGCCGCGCGGTAAAGAGTAAGAGCATGTGACGATATTTTATTGGCGTCTGGAAGCAGAACTACGTCAGGTGTCCGGACCTAATAAAAATTCTTATTTGAGACGGTTTTATATTATTGCTTCTTGAAGCAATTTTTTTGTACAATAATTTTTTATACCAAGGCTTCGTTTGGGTCGGCTTTTTATTGCTTCTTAAAACAGTGTTTTAACACAAAAATTAAAAACCGTCCTAAACGAAGCCTAAAAATTTTTGTAATAAAAAAATATTTTAGAAAATAATAAGAAAGTTGTCCAAACGAAGCTGAGCTGTTTCAAATGAAGCCTTAGTAATTATCCAATGAAAAAATTATCACCATTAACGACAACAGCTTCGAAAATTCCATATTGCCAAACCCCAAAGGCATAATTCTCAAAACAATAATGTTTGCAGATAATTAAAAAGGAAACAAATTGACAAGAGCTGAAAAAATCAATACACATATCGCAGTAGAGAATTTGTCATTCTAGAAATATAAATTTTTAATTGAAGCAGGAATTTTGGCTCTAAGGTTTCGTTTGGGACGGCTTTTTATTGCTTTCTAAAACAGAGTTTTAATACAAAAATAAAAAAATTTATACTAAAACTCCATTTTAGAAAGCAATAAAAAAGCCGTCCCAAACGAAACCTAAGTCTTCGTTTGGAACGGTAATTTTTATACTAAAAAGGCTGTTTTTAGAATCAGTACGAAAGCTATAAGAAAATTATCACATACCGGCATAATTTCTAGCGATTACAAATTCGCTGGAAATTCCAGCGGTTAAGCAAGCGGATTAAAAGCCGGTAATAACTAGCGGTTTAATCGCCAGAAAGTCCACTTGTATTTGATAAGTTTAAAATCGTTACCGACGGAATGACAGCCGCGATTTTAAGTGAATTGTTTCACATCGGTATGATCCCTATTTTCCCGACGTCCTCCTTCTTCCTCATTTCACTGCGTCTTCAATTCAATCCGTCCCAGAGAACGGCGATACACCCTCTCGTCCTACAGTCCTTCCATCCTAGCCAACGCCGGCCTTGATCCTCATCACCCCAGCAGCAAGTGATCTCCTCTCCTTCCTTCCTCTTCTTCCTTTCCCTCCACAGGAGATCATCCTTAAAAACGTTTGATATGTGAAAGTTTTTTATTCATAAGATTTTACATGTTATAGAGACGAAGAAATCAGAAGCATAACTAGAGTAAACATTCAAGTGCATCCACATTCACATTTGCAAAGCTAGACACTAACTTTTGCAGAGCAAAGACCATTCGCATCTGTAGATCTAGTAGCAAAAAAATAATTGTAGAAGGATTCATTACTCAAGGGTTTTTAGTCATTTGAGAGTATATGAGGACCTTCAAAGACTATAATTTTTTTTTTTTTTTTTTTGTAGGGGCCGCGCGGATGAGAATCCCCCTATCACATCACAAATTATGATGTCCATTCTGCCACTTGGGCGGATGGTAAACTAGCACCCCTTCAGAGTGCAATGAAGGTCGCAGGTCTAGGCCACAGGCATTGCTGATCACCCGTTAGACCCCGTCGAGGTGCCAAGGCATAACTCTTTATTTTCAACCTTGGCCATCATTTGATTTAAACTAAAGTACTTTAGAAGGGGTGACTATAATTTTTTTATAAACTAGAGTAATTCTCCAGCTCTATGACTAAAATTGATTCTCATTCAAATAAAATTCTTTTTAAAAACAATTAACATTAATAGTATGATATATATAATAATTAAAATTGATAAATATTGAAAAGAGTACAAAGATTTTCCTAAATTAATTAACCAAACGATAAAAATAAATAATTTCTTTAGATGTATTGAAACCTATAAAACGAAAGAGAAATATTTGATTGAATGTTCAATTTTTGTAATTTTACACTGGAGATATTACATTGCATATTAAAAAGTATAATTGGTTGTTGAAGTTGTTGTTGGAGTTTGAAAAGTAAGTTTTTATTTGAGAACATTGATGTGAATTCTTTGTTGCAATTGAATTTTATGTTTTAAAGGTTGTTTATATTGAACTTTATATTTTATTATGTTTGAAAGTTTGTTTATTTCGTTTACTTTTATGCTTTCAATTATTTTAGTATGTTTTGATTGTGAATATTATGTTAGTGCATTTTATTCACTAGTGCAGTACGAAAGATGGAAGTTTGTGTGGACAGAGGGGAGGCCATTAATTTTTTTTTTCAAATTCCTACAGGTTTCTGGCGGCGTACCGGCTGCTTAGCCGCCAGAAACGTCGATATTGGATGATATCATAAGCCGCTAGAACCAATAGGAAAACAACTAAAATTTCAAGAAGTTCTCCTACGGCTAAGCCATCGTAAAAAAGCCACGGTTATTACTACCGAAATTACCACCAGAAATTACCGACTGTTCTCCTACGGTCTATGTGCCGATAATTTCCAGCGGTCAAACTGCTGGTAATACCGCCATAAATCTTTGGCGTCAATTCTACTTTAGCCATCACTCTGACCGCCACTAGAAATAGGATGCAAATTTGTCAGGAAGTCGCTGGTATGTGTTTCCTACGCGGTTATTACCGGCCAAAAAAATCAATCGGAAAGTCGCTGGATTATTTAATTTCAACCAAAAAATTTCCCAATTTTCGCTGATAATGAACGATTTTCTTGTAGTGGATGTTGAGCCTGTAGTTGGGGTGTTTATGTAGTGGTAGAGGCCGTAGGAGATAATGAAGGTATAGTGCAGACAAAATTGAGAGGAGTAAGAGAGGTCAGTACAAGAGTGAGTGGAGTATAATGTGGTATCTGCGGGGAATTGGGAGGAGTTGAGGATTGTTTGAATGGAAATGCATATTCAAAGTAGGCTACATGGCAAGAGATATATGTATGGTTAGTGATAGGATCGAAGCATTTATAGCCTTTGGAATTAGTGGCGTAGCCAATGAATACATGCGGTAGGGAGCGAGGTTCTCATTAGTGACAACGAACAGGAGGAGATAGCATAAATAACCAAACACACGAAGATGATCATACAATGGTTGGTGGTTGTATAACCGATGGTTGGGAGAGAGATTAGAGATGGTTCTAGAGGGAAGGCGGTTGATGAGGTAGGCAGGTGTCAGAAGAGCATCAACCAGAGGTGATGAGATAGATTGGCTTCAAATATGAGTAAACACATTATTTCCAAGAGATGGTGATATTTTCTACCGAAAATGTCGTTTTCCTGAGTATATAGGCACGTAAGGGGGTGGGAAATGCCACAACTAGTTAAATATTATAGAAAATTGAGGTTGACAAATTCTCCATCTCTATCAGTTTGAAGCATCTTAATAAGAGTTTGAGATTGATTTTCTACAAGTTGTTTAAAACGTTTGAAGGTAGGAAATACATCAGATTTAAGTTTTAAAGAAAAAACCTAACAAAAGCATGAATCATGGTGAGAGGTGAACGGAGAGAACAGGAGAAGGATCCCATACATCTAAATGTAAGAATTCTAAACATTTTGTAGTTTTAAAAGAAACTAGACTAAAAGGAAGACGATGACATTTAACACAAGCGCATGAATCATGGTGAGAGGTGGACGGAGCTTATTGGCTGAGGTTGAGTTCGGCGGACAGTTGTTGTTGAATGGATAGGGACGGATGGTTGAGACCTTGTAATTTCAATCATCCATTAAAATACCTGATTCCGACGGTGGTGTTGAATACATCAACAACACTATTCATCAAACAACTTGACCTTATACTCGAGAGCCAAATGGGGTTGTTGAGCATAAACACTCTCATTTACTTGAAACGGTTGGAGCACTTCTCATTGATGCTCACTTGACTGTTGTTTTTTGGGTTGATACTCTTCTTATGAATGCGTACTTAAGTAATCGTTTGTCATCCAAAGGCACCCACAATATTTTACCTTATGAATGCTTGCATAGACGACCTTGTAATTTCAACCACTTGAAAACATTTGGTTGTTTATGCTAACCCTAGTTTTCCCCTAAAACTCGAAATAAATTTTAGCCAAGGTTACAATCATGCATTTTTCTGGGCTATGCTATTAAAGTTATAAAATGTAAATGCTATGATCAGTCCACTGGTTGTATTTATATATCTCGGCATGTACAGTTTCATGAATCTATTTTCCCATGCCAAGCTCCACAGACACATTTCAATACCACAACTGCTACACCTACCATTCATCCATTTTTGGTGCCAACCTTCATGTTACATGCTCCATCAATGCCTGCTGCATCTTCCCCTATCACACCTATACCTGCTACAACTTCACCGAGTATGACTATCTCCTCCCGAGCATCTGCATCTGTTTCATCATCACTTTTAAATACTTCTTCCCCATCTCTTCAGCTACACTCACCGAATTCCAATTCCATTCCACCATCAACTAATACAATATCTACTACACTGATTCACATCATCCACCCATTTTCATCAGCTCTGTCTCGAGTCTCAACATCCCATGATCACTAGGTTTCAAACATGCAAACTTAAACTCAAACCTCTATTTGACCTTCAGCTTAACATAGTTTCTACTTCACCTTCTAGTTACTCTGAAGCTATTAAACATGAATTTTGGGAGAGATTATTCTGTGCGGATACCGGACGGGAGAATCGTTCAGTTTACGCTCAGATACCGAGCGGTACCGAGTACCGAGTACTGCTCGGTATAACAATTGTGCTAAGTCGAGCAGTTGGACTGAGAGTTGAGAAGAGCAGTGGGAGTGGCAAAAGAATGCTTGGAATGGGGAGTTGCTGAAAGTTTAATGGGGTGTAGGACATGAAGACTAGGTCCCCGAAGGAGAATCTAATGGGTCTTGGAGTCCTTGATGGCAAAACCAACATTGTCATACAAGAGATAACAAGCATTATCATTAAGAAGGTAGTAGATAGATAGAAGATTATGGGTAAGTTGCGGGACATGGAGAATTTTGGTAAAAGTTTCTTACAAGCAGGTATGGGCAAAATTCCTTTGCCTAGTTTAGCAATTGGAAGGTGAGTGACATTGCCGACTAAGACGTGGGAGTTACCAAAATAAGGTTGAATAGTTTGTAGTGTTGAAGAATTAGCAGTGAAATGACTGGAAGCACCGGAGTCCAGGAACCAGTCTACGGCTGAGGGCTCATCTTTGTGGGCTACTAGAGCTCATGATCTAGGTTGATAGGATAGATTTGCATGATGCCAGCAGGAGACTACAGAATGTCCTGATTTACCATAAATTTGGTAGCTATATAGGTGAATGAATGGCAGCCACCATAGAGGGAGACAAGTGAGGAGAAACAACCACTGTGAGGTGTAGAGGAATCTCCATGAGTCGAGCCACAAGGGACAAATTTGAAATGCAGCAAGGGCAAAGGAAGAGTTTGCAATGTTCTCACTTGACTTCTCTGTAGAAATATTAACCTCCTCACTACACAGCATGACATACAAGTCATTGAGACTAATGGTTTGAAGCTTAGTCCGAATGGTAGTTTTGAAAGAATTATACACCGGAGGTAGGCCATTAAGTGTGTAAAGAATGAGATCGTTAGGGTTGATGTGTGCTACAATTGCAGTGAGAGCATCAAACTACTGCTTGATGTCCAAGAGATATTGGAACATTCATGTGTTCTGCATTTTGAGTTGATACATCTCGTTCTTAAGCTGAAGGAATCGAGAATGATTTATAGCTTGAAGCCGGTGTTCTAAGGTGGAACATATTTTAGTTCAGGTCTCTAGATTGAGAGCATAAGGCAATAGAGATGGTGATATGGCAGAAAAAAGAGTAGCAGCCAAGTTTTGATCGATGAGGTGCCAGGAGAATTAAGATGGGTTGGGAGTAAAGGAGTCATCAGGAAGATGTTTGGAGGGTTTAATGACAAAGCGGTCAAAATAATCGCTAAATCCATTTGACCAAAAAGTTTCAAGATCTATAAGCGCCAAATAGGGTAGTTAGCAAGGGTAAGATGAATGTTTAGGACTGATTTTACATTAGCCAGCAAAAAATTTTAACTAAGGGGGGAATAATAAGGTTCGTAGTGGGGATATTTACAATAGAGGAAGCTTTAGTACTCACCATAAAGGCAAGAGGAGATTTATACAAGAATTAAAAAAAAAAAAGAAATTAGAAGCTGGTGAGCTATGATACCATAAAGACACAGATAATTGGCCTCTAGTGATAATGAGAACAAACAAAGAAGAAAGTAAAAAAGGTATATTAAGTTTATTTCACTTAGTCAATTACTATATACAAGAGCATATATGCAGGTGAATGCGAGAGTGACATATGGCTAGTGATGGATAGTGTTGAGCTCATGGCAGACATCCAATGGCTATACTAGAATTAGTTGGTTATATGCATAGGAAGAGATGGAGCAGGCCCCATAATGAAGAGTAGTGTCGCATATGTCCATTAACAGGATGAATATAATAAAAAATTGAGTCAAGATGATGAACCCATAATATATCTGCTAATGACTTTGAAGATGATAGTGTGGGTGTCACACAATGGTTTCATTAAAATGGGCCCTCCCATATAACAAAAGAAAAAAGGCTAAAATATCTAGATCGAGGGCCAAACAACTTATTA